ATTTAGCTATTTGGGAGGGTTATAAGGTTAACCTTTTTGTTCCTTTAAGTTTCCACAATGTGAACACTAGCCTGCTCCAAAATTTCACTGCAGTTATTAATTTGTTCGAGCACACTTGACCACATCCCTTCACCCTGTCATTCACTAGCAACGACCACACCATCAACAAGATGTGTGATTTATTAATGAAAAATGATTGCCAATTGGCTTGAAACTCTTGCTGACTGCGTTGTGGGGAAGCTTTGGTAGGAAATCTGCTGTAGCACCTGGCAAATTGAATTTAAATGATTCTTTGGGGTGCTGTGCTTTCCCACAACGCCTATATTATGAGTGCATTGTGGTTTGTTGCCATCTTTCAAATAGCCCATTTCTTCCGAACTGATTCATTGCAGCTTCATAACATGCACTTATAATTTTTAAACTTGCACTTTAAAATGAAAGAGATAGTTATAACTGTAGTTAGTCTTGACATGAACTCAAAGAAAAGCAACAACAATGGCTTAAGTGAAAAAGTAGTTTGAGTGAGTCTGTGCATTTAGCATCACCTGGATCTGTCGAGGAACCAGCTCTACACAGCAGGCTGAGCCTCTATATCAGTATTGTGAAGCACTGAATGTAACAAATGTGATTATATTTAGAACTATTTATTAACTGAACAATGAAAACAAAATGTGTCTATTGTTGCCTGCTACCACTTAAGGTACCATAAAAATATGTGAAAAGCGACTTTCCTTTCAAGACCTGTCATTAAAAATTCATGTAAACCATGAGAAATCTTCCTAAATTAATTTTATAACCCTCAACATGGTAAATGCTACTTTTATTTGCAAACAGCTTTTCAGATTGGGTTGCTGCTGCACAGGTTAAATCTTGTCAAAATGTGCCCCCTGGGATCACTGTAAAGAGGCTTGCCCCGGACACTGCTCTTATGTAGGGGGCATAAATAAGCACCCTTTGTTTAAGGTGATGTGATCATTCCTGACCTGTCCTCAGCTGCAGGTAGCCAGGAATGATCATTAGCTTGTATTAATAATATTCTTGTTCCGCTAAAGACTAATGATCTCCCATCAAAAGGACACTGCGGAGGGACTAGATGGTGGAAACTTTCCAATAATTATTCCTTTGCTTATAGACAGAAGATAACTTCTGTTGCATGCAGCAGTAAAATCCACACATTATTTCTTTCACCTTTATTTTTGTAATTTTTTGTCATTGAGCTGTCTCACAAAATCTGAAGATGCACGTCAATGTGTTGGTGCTTCTCCAAGCCACTACGGTACACATGGTTTAAGAGTGAGAGGAATTAAAAAAGGTTTTCTCAGTTTCCCTCCACTAAAGGAAACACATCTACACATGTTAAAATGCTATTCTGGTGGCCACATTTTCACTCAGAGTTTTCTTTTTGAAATAGTTTAGATAAAATACTTATAGCAGTAAAACCAGTAAAACTTTAAATCCTAATCTCTGTGTGGGAGCCTTTAGTGATTTTTGATTTAATAAATTATTGAATAAATAGCAGTGTTGGTTATCTTTGGCTGCGAAATCTTAAGCTCTTCAAATTGACACATTTTCCATGGTGTGTTTCACCATCATTTATCACAGTGCTGTGATTTGTAATCACATTTTGCATGGTAATCTCAGTTCCTAGATGAAGACTCTGCTGTGGTTTACCTCGAGAACTCGAACGTATGGAGACACACAGGTACATCACAGAAGGCTGCTGTGCTATGCATGAAAGGAAAGACTACTCTGGTGTCCATTTATGATACCACACATTTTATTAAACTCTATTTCTGCATTTCATTCACAAAAGCAGTTACACGTTGGTCTGAAGGTCTGCATTTTGTGTCCTGTTCTACCACATTTTATCAAAATAAACTTTGACACGCTACTATGATCACAAATAAGTAAATAAAAGATGGGACTGTTTAATTTAAGGCTAGTAAAATAAAAATACAAACTAATTGCAAGTATCAAATAAGGCAGATATCTATATGTCCAACAACACTTCTATAATACAGTGGTGTGAAAAAGTGTTTGCCCCCTCCCTGATTTCTATATTTTTTTTCCAGTGTTTGTCACACTGGAATATATCAGATCATCGAACATATTGAGATATTAGACAAAGATAACACAAGTAAACACAAAATGCAGTTTTTTTTTTAATAAGGGGGGAAAAAATCCAAACCTACATGGCCCTGTGTAAAAAAGTGATTGCCCCCCCCCATTAAAACACAAATGAACCGTTTATCACATCTTTGGAGTTCAGTTTCTCTAGCCACACCCACGCCTGATTACTGCCACACCTGTTCGCAATCAAGAAATCACTTAAATAGGACTTGCCTGACAAAGTGAAGTAGACCAAAAGATCCTCATCATGCTGTGATCCAAATAAATTAAGGAACAAATGAGAAACAGAGTAATTGAGACTTATCAGTCTGGAAAAGGTTATAAAGCCATTTCTAAAGCTTTGGAACTCCAGCGAACCACAATGAGCCATTATCCACAAATGGTGAAAACACGGAACAGTGGTGAACCCTCCCAGGAGTGGCAGGACGACCAAAATAACCCCATGAACGCAGCGACCACTCATCCAAGAGGTCACAAAAAACTCCCACAACATTCAAACTGCAGGCTTCATTTGCCTCAGTTAAGGTCAGTGTTCATGACTCCAGCATAAGAAAGAGACTGGACAAAAACTGGGACAATACTCTGTGGACTGACGAGACAAAAAGTGAACTTTTTTGAAGGTGTCCCATTACTTTTGGTGGAAAAGTAATGCAACATTTCAGAAAAGGAACATCACACCAACAGTAAAATATGTGGCGGTAGTGTGATGGTCTGGGGCTGTTTTGCTGCTTTAGGACCTGGAAGACATGCTGTGGTAAATGGAACCATGAAGTCTTTTGTCTACCAAAAAATCCTGAAGGAGAACGTTCAGCCATCTGTTCGTGACCTCAAGCTGAAACGCACATTGTGTTCTGCAGCAGGACAATGATCCAAAGCACACCAGCAGGTCCACCTCTGAATGGCTTATGAAAAACAAAATGAAGACTTTGGAGTGGCATAATCAAAGTCCTGACCTGAATGCAATTGCGATTTTGTGACATGAAAAGCGGTTAAGGCTCAAACCCTCCAATGTGGCTGAACTGCAACAATTCTGCAAAGACAAGTGGGCCGAAATTCCTTCACAGCGCTGTAAAAGACTTACTGCCAGTTATCGCAAACGCTTGATTGCAGTTAAGAGTGGCCCAACCAGTTACTAGGTTTAGGGGGCTCACTTTTTCTCACAAAGCCATGTAGGTTTGGCCTTTTTCCCCTTTTAAAAATAAAAAACCTTCATTTAAAAACTGCATTTTGTTTACTTCTGTTATCTGTGACTAATATTTCAGTATGTTCTGAAACACTTCAGTGTGACAAACATGCAAAAAAAAATCAGGAAGGGGTAGAGGACAAAAATATACAAATGGATAACAACAGTGATGGCGAGATGAAGCACTGAAGCTTTCCATCCAATTGGTTCACTCATGGGCCGAAGCTTCACGGTGCTTCATTTGCTCTACTGTGCCATAAAGTGGACAATAAATGTAAAACAGGCAGAGTGATTATAACAGCAACATGGCTTTGGTGTGTGAAGCTTTGAACTGAATAAATTAATGAATGATGTTTGTGATGCCAATACATGACTGATTAGCTTTTTAATAAGGCGTCTGTCTTTATGATACAATGACAGAGTAGGAAGGAAAGTGGAAACAAGGGAGAGGGTTATGATAACTTGGTTTGTGACTTTAGATAATAGAGACAACATTTTATTCATCTTTATTTAAAAATAACCCTTCCACAGTGCTTCAGGCGGTTTCTTTTTTGGAGATAATTTTACCTGCTTTAGAAAATTATTGTTAGGGTAATATGGGGTAAGAGTTTAATTCTTACAAAGCCACAAAATGTAAAAAAAAAAAACATGTCAACGCTTTCTTTTCCTCTGTTTCATCACAATTTTTGAAGTTATATGATCAAAGCAATTCTGACATAAGTTGATCAAATTTTTTAGTCATTTAAAATTAGCTGTAGATAAAATCTAATTGTGTTCATGTTCAAAAGTCCACAAAATGTTAAGGAGGGTCCGTTGCATTTTGCTGCTCCTTTCAAATCGCACGCCAAACCCGCAAACCATCTCCTGAATCGGCTTGCGAGGCTTCGAACGTCACCACATACGTCATCAACACAAGCCTTGATACGCGCTTCACAAAAATCATCCTGTATTACTCGACACAAGCTTCGAAGCCTCGATACGGACTGACACATCACTAGATAACAAATCAAAAACTTTCTTTAACATTAAGCAGTTTGCCAACATACACTTAACTTATTAAATGGCATAGTGAATAAAAAAAAATTTCAGAAAATAGTTTCAACATAACATGCCCTCAGGCCTCTTATCACTTTAGGTAGTCATGAGCTCATTTCTTGTCAGCCAGTTAAGGCTCCCCAAACAGTGGATCCTGCTCTGGAGGCTCAAGGTAATTATCTGCAGGCACGCAAAGTGCTAGCTGGCTTGCTCGGCCCCCAACGCTGTAAAGTATGTGAGGGACAAGACTTCCCTTCACCTCTATTTTTTTTCTCTGCGTTTTGCCATCTTCAGTATGTATCAGACCCACATCAGTCAAAAGGGTAATATTTTTCTTCCTAAACACTTCCTAAACACTCTGGCATTCCAGCACATGGCTGAAACTTTAATTTAGGAGCTCTGTGATATATTCTGTGTGAATCACAACCTTCTCTGAAAGTTTTACTCTAGGTGAGACAGGGCTCCTGTTGAAACAGTCAGCGGCACAATTAACTTCCAGGATATTTCTCCATCTCCTCTGTCAGTGCTCTACTCATGAGTAATTTTCTCAATGAAGGTAATCCAGATTAGCCATTTTAGGAGAGTAGCCATTCAATCAGGAACACAAGGCATTTTGGGGGGTGAATGAGGAACGTTTTTTTAATATATATACCAATTTACTAGCACCTCATTCAACAGAGGATCTGCTTGACTAAATGAAATTAAATGCTGCCCTCTTGTGTCAAAATAATTTCAGGCAAAATCACTTTCTGTCTCCATGTGAAACATGTGGAGCACAAATACTTATTGATAGAGATTTGGGACAACTGTCTTTGATGTGGCTGTACTGCTACCACTGACTGTGCGGAGTCTGTCCTCTCCAACAGTCTTGCTGGAATGGTAATAGTAGATGAACAGGAAGAAACCTGCAAGAACATGTGTAGTTGGGTTACATTGTATTACCATCACATGTACCATTTGAGTGTAGTTCATATTGCTGTGTGTGAGTCTGGAGTCTACCTTGAAAGGAGTTGAGGATGGTGAAGATATAGTAGGATGCTACACGCAAAGGCCCGTAGCTGAAGAAAGCAAAGGCCCAGGTGATGCCAAGCAGGAAGAACAGGCCTATAATGGAGTAAGAGTTTCTCTTGATGGAGCTGATGTCCTGGCCTTTCCCTGTTGTGGGTTTGAAAAGAACAATCTGCCGCACAGTTATGATGAATATGCAAAAGGTGAAGATGAACACTATAGCATAATAACCGATATTCACCACCTGATGGACAACAGCATCAGAGATCCAGCACCTGAAAATCATAAATAAAACAATCATCCACTTTGTAACATGAACCTCTTTATGTGATAAAGAAATGTGAGACATGCAGTCAGTAAGAGTCGCTTACATTTTTGCTGAGTTTCCATCACTGGTATTTATGACCAGGTAATCATATTTTCCTGAGGCAAGAAAAGCAATCACCACTACAGCTGGTGTGACTGAAGAGAAAGACAATTGAGTAAATTTTGTTTTGCATGTGAAGTTTGAAGTATCAGTAACTTGTCCACCCAAACAAGCTGGGTAGCCAAATGCTAGTGGCTAACTGGCAGCACGCTGTACAGGCCGCTCCCCGTGAATGATTTCCATTATATTATACATCCTGTACGCAGGATAAGCGGTTGATTATGGATGGATGGATGGACCCCTTCTCCGGTATCTTCTTCGTGTCTCACACTGCCAGCTGAGAGTACACTTACTCTGGCTACAGCCCCCTCCTGGCCTCACCTGTCATTACACAGTTTACCCATACAGACTGTTGTTAAGCACAGGGCATCCCGCCCACACAGTACACGGTGTGTTTTAAGCGTTCTAGCCAAATCATTTACACACACACACATACACACAGGACCTGCCATAAGTTTGCTCTCTTCAACACCGGCTCTATTGCCAATAAAGCCCTGCTAGTGAATGACTTCATCACAGATCACAAACTGGATTTTTTTATGTCTCACAGAATCATGGCAGACACAAAATGCTTTTCTTCATCTAAACTCAGCAGCTCCACCTGGCTTCACCTACATATCCATCCACGCTCTGGGGTAAGGGAGGCGGCCTTCCTCTGATCTATCATGAGTGTATAAAATAAAACTAGCACAACTCTTGTTTACCTGATCAGTGTTCCTTTGAACTGCTGGCTTAAGCTTCGTGGACCCCCACCTAGGGGAGACCAGGGGCAATTGTAACATATTTTACATTACATTTTCCTTAATAACTCATAAACTACTTGAGATACACTAGTCATCTTTTGATACAAGAAACATATGAGAAGAAAATATATATATGTGCACTAAATAATAACAATTGATATATTTTCACTTATAAGAACGAGACTACAATATTTAATTAAATGCAAGAAGTCAGAGTCTGTGGGGGCAATTGTAACACTGAAAAATAAGTCATATTAACCCACTGCATCTCAAGTAAAAGCCTAGGCTACCTCAAAGTAATTACTTTACAGCTAATAATGTTACTGCTGCTTACATTTGGCCATGTTGCAGTCATGATAAAATCTTGTTTGCCCGCTAGCCACAATTATATATAAGCATAGTTTGTTAGTGTTAATTGTTAATCAACAACCTAGAGATAAAATGGATGCAAGTTTAAATTTGCAGTCATCTGAACTTTAGACTCCAGTAGAAAAATACTGCACATCCAAAAAGTTACTTTCATACCTCTAAATCAGTGTTTTGTTTAAAACTTTGGCTAAGGTGAAATGATTCTGCTCCTTTTCCACAGGCGGAGAGAAAATCCTATTGAGCATGTGCAGATTAACTGTCATCACTCTAGCTTGTTTCTGACTGGAGAAATTAGGTGTGTTACAATTGCCCCCTGTTACATTTGCCCACGGTCTTCCCTACTATTATTGCTGTCATATACAGACCACCAAAACCATCCAATATGTTCATCACTGAGCTCTAAATAGTCTTAAGCACTATGTCTCCCAACATAATTTTAATTGGAGATTTTAATGTCCATTTTGATAAACCTGATAACATGTCTACACAAGATTTTAAAACAATGTTAGAGTTCTTTGAGCTAACACAATATGTAAACTTCATAACACACACCAAGGGCCACATCCTGGACCTAGTCTGTTCTTGCATCTTACCCTATAACATCACATCTGCCGAGCTACCTATCTCTGACCATAAAGCTGTACTGTTCAACACCAACCTACTGCTCAGTAAGGCAAAGGCCCATCGTGTCATATCAAATCGAAACATCAGACATGTGCACCCAGAAAGCCTTATCAGCTTAATTACATCTAACCCAGCTCCACCGCAGACCACCTCAACTCTGGATCTAATGGACTACTACAATGACACCTTATCTTCTACTCTGGACACTTTAGCCCCTCTAAAAACACAGACTATCTCATTTACCTATATTTCTCCCCTGGTACACATCCGAACTGCGTCAGCTTAAGGCCGTAGGACGCCGCAAGGAGAGGCTATACAAAAAGACTGGACTTGCTGTACATAAACAGATGTACAATGATCATATACTGCTATACAAAAATGCTCTCTCAACATCCAAAAACTCATACTACGCAAACATTTTCACCGCAGGTGAAGGGAATGCCAAAAACCCTCTTCTCCACAGTAAAAAAAACTACTCAAACCACCGGAAACTAATATGAACAATAACCTTTCAAATTAACAGTTCTGTCAGCTGGGATTGGCTCCAGCCCACTGTACGCAGGATAAGTGGTTGATGATGGATGGATGGATGGGATGAACAGTGCTCTGCTTTTTTGACATCCTTCAACTCAAAAATCACTGCAATACATGACCATCTTGACTCTGTAAACACAGTGCAGACCAACCCACAATCGGCAAGTTCATTAGCACTGCCTACATCCACTGTCTTCTGTGACTTCAGCCTTCAAACTGAAAGTCACATTTCTGAAACTATTACCAAGTCGAATAACTCCACATGTCATCTAGATCCAATCCCCACAACTCTAGTAAAAGCGTGCTTGCCTTCTATAATTTCCCTAGTAACATCCATCATCAATTCCTCACGGTCAACTGGTATGGTTTCACCCTCTCTGAAAGCTGCCATAATCAGACCAACACTGAAAAAACCTGGTTTTCAATGATCACAACAACTACAGGCCAATTTCCAACCTACCATTCATATTGAAAATTCTGGAAAGGGTTGTTGCATCTCAACTACAGCCCTACCTCAATAGAAACAATCTCCTGGAAAAATTCCAATCTGGCTTCAGACCCAAACATAGCACAGAAACTGCCCTGACTAAGATCACCAACGATCTCCTCCGGGCAGCAGATTCCGGTCTTCTCTCCATTCTGATCTCCTTGACCTCACAGAGTCCACTACAGAGTACCGCGGGGTTCAGTGCTAGGACCACTATTATTCATCATCTGCCTCCTCCCTCTTGGCAACATCTTCCGGCGCTACAACATCCATTTTCACTGTTATGCTGACGATACACAGCTTTATCTGTCTACAAACCCCAGCTCCATACTTCCCTCCAGTACACTCACTGCCTGTTTATGTGACATTCAGACATAGATGACGCCGAATTACCTACAACGCAACAATAGTAAGACTATAGTAAAACATTCAAAGCCCTCCACAGTCTGTCTCCTACTTATCTCACTGATCTCATTCAGACCTACACTCCATCTTGTTCCCTGAGGTCACAGCAGCAAGTCTTTTGGCACTACCAACCATCAAACTCAGTACAATGGGTACTAGGGCCTTCTCCCATGCTTCACCCAAACTCTGGAACTCTCTCCCCCCACACATCCGTACACTGGACTCTATTAAAAACTTAGCTCAAAACTCATCTTATTAAACTAGCATACTCACTGTAATAATGTACAACACCGATTCCCATTTTGACTGTTTATTTTATATAGGTGTGTTTATATTGGTGTTATATTTTTATGCTATATTTTTATGATGTTATGTACATACGTTTTCTTCTTGTTGTAAGGTGACACTGAGTGCCATGAAAGGCGACATTAAATAAAATGTATTATTATTATTATTATTATTATTATTATTATTATTATTATTATTATCAATTTAAGCTCACAAAGTTGTTTTGTGCAAATGTGTCAGGTTCAGTTCTCTTACCCCATCCTGCAACGCAAATCTTCATCATATAATGTTTGATTTCAGATGGGTGCTTCCACAGATTAAAGCACAAGTGTAGAGCCTCCATGAAAAACCAGGTAAAAGTGGCCAACAAAGTGTAGTGCATAACTGCTGCAATGGTCACACATGCGCCAAAGTTCCCTAGGTTGGCAATGCTCTCATTGGTCAGGAAGGACAAGTTCAGGGTGAACATGGCAACAAAGAGGTTGATCAGGATCTTAGTTGCTTGGCTTGCTTTCCCTTTTCTGTGGAGTGAGTGAGTTTGTGTCAGCAAAAGCCTTTAATATAGTAAGTTCAAATAAAAAACTGCCCAGTGATTTTTACCTGATAAGACAATGCATAAAGAGAGCCACTGCTAGGAAAAACATAGACAGGCCACAGCCGATGGATGTGATGTAGGTCAGAGAATTCAAGTCTGAAGAGCTGATGTTTCCAGGTGAGGGTGACTGAAGAAAAACACATAGTTGGTTATGTGGGAAATGTCCATGGTAGCTACGTTCAAACTTGAAGTAATTCAAGTTTCAAATTCATCTTACCAACAGTATTGCAAAAAATGTTAGATGAGAGCACTGGCATGTGATGCTGCCATTGGTCTCATAGGTCCTACAGCCATCTGTGATCCAAATCGCTTCTTTTCCTACAAAGGCAGAAGAAGCTGCTGTACTTAAAAAGTCTCTTTCATATTAATGGCTGAGTGAGCTGTCACACAATGGACTTTTCATTAAAAAGACTATATTTACAGTACCTTTGCCATCCCACGACCTACATGAAGCAATATTTCCTTTCTGTGTTAGAAAGAAGAAGAAACTCAATGTTATGTTGTATGTATGTTAAAAAAAAAAACTCGTAATTGTGCTTTGTCATAGGCAGTAATTATTAACCTATTATATATTTTATCTTCCACCTCTTACCTTGTCCACATTATTGAACTGAATGTCTATGGTATGTGAGAGGTTGGATATTTCTGTTCCCATATCAATTCCCACTGCCTCATTGTTGAGAAAATAACTGTTGGAGTCATTCTGCTGAGAGTGGAATACTGTGTACAGTTATGACAGGCACAGAAAAGGTGGATATAATTTAGTAATTATGTTGGTATTAAAGTCGTCAAGACTGCATAATTAGGTCTTTACTTTTACCTGATATATTCCTGAAAAAAATACAACTCCAACAAATGAACCATTTCTTCCTACTGCCATGTCACTGGCCTCTTTTGGGATTTGTACCAATCGAGAGCAGCCTGTCGTCAAATCATTGTTATTCTCTATAATCTACAAAAAAAAAAATATAAGAAAGCTATGGTGATTTAACCCTACTTAACATCAGGATTTAATGTTGTGTCATGGCAAACTGCATACTTTGACACCATCACTTGTTGTGATGCCAATGTTGATGTTTTCTTGATTTCTGGGGGGAAGTTTAGTGACCACTCCTTTAATATTGCCTATTTTAATATATGCCGTGGAGTTGCCCGTCTGTTCCAGGTAGGAGGAGAGATTTTTCATGATATTTCTGTAATGGAAACACAAATGTCATCATCATAACTAATCATGCCAAATCAAAATGTAGTAGCTGACACCAACAGCAACATTATAGCTACCTCTGAGTTAGATACTTACACTGCGTTTTCTAGGCCGTTAGTGGTGACATTAATGTTCCCCACGGTGGTGTGACTAGTAGTAACTAGTCCAGTAGTTGTAACTTGCCCACTTGATGTAACTGGTCCAGTAGTTGTAACTTGCCCACTTGATGTAACTGGTCCAGTGGTTGTAACTTGCCCACTTGATGTAACTTGTCCAGTAGTTGTAACTTGCCCACTTGATGTAACTGGTCCAGTAGTTGTAACTTGCCCACTTGATGTAACTTGTCCAGTAGTTGTAACTTGCCCACTTGATGTAACTTGTCCAGTAGTTGTAACTTGCCCACTTGATGTAACTGGTCCAGTGGTTGTAACTTGCCCACTTGATGTAACTGGTCCAGTAGTTGTAACTTGCACACTTGATGTAACTTGTCCAGTAGTTGTAACTTGCCCACTTGATGTTACTGGTCCAGTGGTTGTAACTTGCCCACTTGATGTTACTGGTCCAGTAGTTGTAACTTGCCCACTTGATGTACTGTCCAGTAGTTGTAACTTGCCCACTTGATGTTACTGGTCCAGTGGTTGTAACTTGCCCACTTGATGTTACTGGTCCAGTAGTTGTAACTTGCCCACTTGATGTAACTTGTCCAGTAGTTGTAACTTGCCCACTTGATGTAACTGTCCAGTAGTTGTAACTTGCCCACTTGATGTAACTGGTCCAGTGGTTGTAACTTGCCCACTTGATGTAACTGGTCCAGTAGTTGTAACTTGCCCACTTGATGTAACTGGTCCAGTAGTTGTAACTTGCCCACTTGATGTAACTGGTCCAGTGGTTGTAACTTGCCCACTTGATGTAACTGGTCCAGTAGTTGTAACTTGCCCACTTGATGTAACTGGTCCAGTAGTTGTAACTTGCCCACTTGATGTAACTGGTCCAGTAGTTGCAACTTGCCCACTTGATGTAACTTGTCCAGTAGTTGCAACTTGCCCACTTGATGTAACTGGTCCACTAGTTGTAACTTGTCCAGTAGTAGAACCGTTTTGTGGTGGCTTACACAACATTAGCTTATTATTTAAAATGGTGAGGTTGTAGATTTTTTTTCCTGATACACAAACAGACAGACGCACACACACACATAAACAAACAGAAATATTTGATTTTCACTACCACGCTTTTTGTGATCACTGAGATATAATAATTTCATCTAATAAACAAATAATAATACCTCTTTCACAGATGCTGTTTTGGCTCAATCTAATACCGCTCGTACCTTAAACATATTAAACATTATATTTTAAGATATGTTACTGAAGAGTTCTTCTACTGCTGTTAAATGTGTGCTGGTATGGAAAATAAGAGCTGTGGTAAATTTGTGATCTTACCCTTATCCAAGCAGTTGTGAATGTTCAAAAGGAAACCTGCAACAGAATAAAGGTTTTATAAGATGACAGCTTACTGTTGACCAACAGAGGGCAATCTCTCCCTGCTTTTGTGTGCAAATATGTACTCATATGTACTTCAACCCAGCCACTGTCTGTGTGAACAGTCTTTATTTGCAGTGATGCCAGTTACTACATTTTGTTCTTAGTGGTACAATGAAAAAACAGAGTTCAGCATATTTGAAACTACTATGCCCAGACCTAGTTGTTTCAAGAGTTTGTTTCAAGAGTTTGTGTGGTAAAGGTGGCTGTTAGTGATACCTGAATTGTTGCTGTAGAACCTTGATGGCATACAGTTTAAGTCTTGCATTGGTGAAGTCATCAGTACGATATCTTGCTTGGATAGAGTCTCATCAGTCAGAGTTAGGTTGTAGTTATTTTCATTACCAGTTATGTTAAAGTTGCAGTTGAAATCTCCAGTTTTACAACAGTCTGAATATACAAACCACAATACACTCACGTTCATCAAATGACCAAGAGAAACAGCTGTATGGTTATTTCCACTGGGCTCAAATCAGGCTAATAATTAGGATATTGTACCTGCATGTCTGTCGTTTCCATTGACAAAGAAACAGAGTTTAATTCCATTGTCATCGCGATAGACAACCTCTGAAATACAATGTGAAACCACTCTTTTCTTTAAAATGTTTCAGTTCAATTTTCATTCATTTATCTTTCTATGGTGTTATAAAGCTTACCTGATGGAAAATAAAATGTACTGTCTGGCTTTCTGCAGCTGACAAACAGAAAATGTTTTTGTCTGCACGTCTCATTTGTGCCTGTAAAAAACAAGATAACAAAATGACAAATATAATATACATGTCAATCTGTAGAAGAGGTGCTAAATTGTGTTGAGAAATAATGATTTTTCAGGTTAACTTTTGTTGAACTTACTCACCTGAGCTCTCACATATGCTGTTCTTGAGGAATATCCCAAAGAACAGGATTGCCATCTCCACTGCAAACATCGAGCGATGCTTTCCATCCAGTGGTGACATTATCCTAAGGAGTAAGGACAATGTCAAGTACATTATGGGATTAAGTTATCTCACCATAAACCTATAGATATATACATTTTTCAGTGCCATCTAGCCGTACAACAGCTTCCATTACCTGATTGTGGTGATTTTCTGTGTTCTGCGTTGTCACTCTCCACAGCGACTGTTAGTGAAAGATAAACCCTTAATATAGTTCCTGTCTAATTTACCTTGCAAATGAAGCATGTCCACTTCTCTTGACACATGTCGTGACTGCATTCTCATCTCGCAGACTGCCACATATAGTGATGGACTGGAGTGAAGAGTTTATATGTAGTTTTTAAAATAAAAAAAAGAACTATGTTTCTTTATTCACATGACAGGATGGACAAAAAATGAATGGTAAATGCAATATATATTCTATACAGTATATAGTCTAGTCTATTTTGCTTCTTTGATTCATTTCAGCCATACTAGCTGCGTGGCTCTATGGATGGAAATGTCGGTTGGTTGGTTAGTCTTTGGTCCAGACTGAAATATCCAGCAACTACTACATTTTGTACAGACCACGATTCCCATTGGATGAACCCTACTTTGGTGCTCCCCTGACTTTTCCTCTGGTGTCACCATGAAGTTCACATTTG